ATCATCCAGCTTTGACATTTTTCAACATTTTACCAATTTTGTTTCACATATTTCCACTTTTTAATTTTGCTTTTCTGAAGTATTTTAAGGCAAACTGAGCCATTAATTGTGCTATTTGACCTGTAAATCCTTTAGTATATCTCATTTTTAAAAATACAACCACCAAGCCATAATTATATCCAACAGAATTATCAGTTATCCCTTAATATCATCTGATTCCCAAAACATGTTCAAATTTTCCAAAGAGTTTCTAAGATATCTTTTACAGTTGGTTTACTCTAACGAGTATTCAAATCTAGTACACCCATGGCATTTGGTGTTATAGTATAGGAGAGACCTAGACACATAAGAGTGTCCCCTCCCACCCTTTTTTCATGCCAGCAATTTATCAGTAGAATCAGGCAATTGTCCTGTAGCATGTTGGATGGAATTTTGAAAGGCAGATAAGTGAGGGGGGAGAGTGCATTTCATATATTGTAGCAAGAACTGTGAAGCAGCTTTGTTGGGTGTTGGGGGCGGAGATGATACTGACCATTGGCCTGTGCTATTCTTTGCACAATGGGAAGCTGGGCTTAGGGAGAGGACTTGGGAAGCAGTTGTTAGAGTGCAGTAAGAAGAGTTGGGGAGACTGGTCAAAGGCTGCAGCTACAGCAGGACAGCAGTGTTGCTAACGGCCTGGAATGTGGAGCCCAGATGCCTGGGTTCACATCTCGGCTCCACCATGCTCTAGCTGTGTGGTCTTGGGCAAATTTCTTAACATACCTAAGCAACTGTTTCCTGAGTTATAAATATGATGCAATACCTGCCTCAAAATGTTGTCTTGAAGATTAAATAAAATTACCCAGAAAAGTGGTTAGTAAATGCTCAAATATGTTAGCTATTGTAAGAGGAGCGGTGCAGGCAATGGCAGAAGGGTCATCTGTGAGTGGTTCCAGTGACTGTGGGATGTGCTGAGAAACAGGAGTTAGGCAACTGAAGACTCACTCATCACTCAACTTTTAAATCTCTTCTCCTCACCTCTCAAAACACACAAACACATACACATACACACACATCATCATCATCAACACTCACCAAGACAGAGAAACAGGAAGAAAAAAAGAAAATATTATGGTTTGTTGTTTTTTTTGTCTTCAATAGGATACACTGGAAACACTGGAAGACTATCCATGTAGAGACAACCATTGGGAAGCTGAACATTTGGGTCTTGAACTCTTAAGAAACGGCAGAGCTAGGGATATAGTTTCAAGGATCATCCACACTGACATAATGATTAAATCAGTAGTAAGATAAAAATCACAAGCGAAAAGGAGCAGATTTTAAAAAAGCAAATTAAAAACCACACATACACACAAACTGGTGAAGTCCACCTGAACACACTGAAGACCGCAGAGTGCACGAGGGAGTCAGTGGGTAAAAGAGTGTGTCTGAATGTAGGCAGGGATTTAGAAATGGCAGTGTAATGGAAGCCAAGGTTTCTAAGGAGAGTGCCCGTCGGTGTCAAATGCAGGGTGCAAATAGAAGAGGTCTGGGAGGTGGGGGCTGAATCGGGTATTAGGAAGTAATTTAAGATGTGGGGCCAATACTAGGGATTGCGTTCTAAATGCAAATCTGGAAACTATCTACATACAAGTAAAAGTTAAAGACATACAAGAGGGAGAGAAGTGAGTGATAGGAGCAGAGAATGTTGGGAAGTAATATCAAGTTACATGAGAAAGTGGAAAAGCCTGAAAACTGTGAAAAAGCCACTGAGTCTGGAGGGCAGGAAGTCAGTGGTGGTACCCACTGAGAGCCACCGAATGGAACGGCTCATCTTTGAGTTGTACGTTTGTGAATTACAGACCTGTGGGTACACATATAATTTTTTGCAAAAGGGCCTGTTCCACATGGCAAGTACAGTACCATGGGAACTGAATTATCAAAGTTACTATCTAATGTAACAAAACAAAAGCCAAGCAACGGAAAAAATCAGGAGACGGGTGAGCTCAGTTCCAGCAGAGAACCACAAGTCTCATTAAACAGACTAGCCTCAAAAATGCTCAGTTGGTACTGAATAAAAAACTAGACTTGTCTTCCTCACCAAGCATATATTCTGTATATGCTCATAACCTCAGAGCTAATACTTTAAGGTGCTTGCTGAGTAACACTGCTACCATCCTAGCCCTGCTCTGGAGAACTGACTGTGTTAGATCCAGAGTCTTACAGCCTTCCTTTCACAGGCAAGATATTCAATTCAATGTGTAAGGGAAGTTTCAGAGACCACTGCCAAGTTCTGGCATTGCTGTTGTTGTGTCTCTGCGTGGTCCTCCCAATGCTTTTCGTGATAAGCATGTGTATTGGTAATAAGTGGGCCGCTGGAGGTCTGTCCCAGGCGGCCTCTGGGAGGCTGCCTCTGGAAGGTGAATGACAGGCCACGCAGGGCTGTGTCGCTGATGCCTGAGAGCAGTTATCAAATTCCTCCATGGCCATGTGCACGTTGCAAACATACGGGAGAATGAAGCTCCCCTCAACCCACCGTGCAGCTCAGTTTAGTCTACAGCAATTCATCCTTGCTCTTTTCTCATGGACAATGGGGTTCTGCAGCTGCGCTCCAGACAGGGCTCAACAAAGCTTTCTTTCCTTTAATGGAAAGGCAGCTACATTCATCAGGAGGGTGAGAGAGTTCCAACCTCTAGAGCCAAAAGGTGAGGCCGAAGGAATTCCATTCCTTTTAATTTCTGGAATCTGTGATGAGGCCCCGTTACAAACTGCAGGCACAATCACACCTCATTGGGTTTTAAACTGCGATCTGTTTCTCATTTCTAAGTCATCTTCACTGAAACCTAAACGCTTTTCAGTGGGTTGGATGGTGAACATTTGTTGTCTCCTCAGCTGGGGACAACAGTTGGTTTACTCACACACAAAATTGCTGTCTCAAGTAGGCTGTGGGCAGCTCAGAAAGTGATTGCTAGGGTCGTGTCTAAAAGTAAAAACAGAACAACTTCATCAAAATCCACAGCAAAAGTTCTGAATTCTAATAGGCTTTGTCCATATGGTTAATATTTGGTTCTCTCCCCGCTCACTGCTGGCCCCTTATGTAGGTACCACATCTGCTTACGTTAAAACAAGTGTCCTCCCCTGCCATAAACAAGATTTTCAGAGGCGATTCTGGGACCCCTGTGTGGGCTCTGTGTAATGGAAACAGAACTCTGAGCACCATGAAACTCCAGTTCAAAGGCCAGACATATCAGACACAAAGATTTCCAAGGGAGCGAAGATTCTTAAAAATGTCATCGAGAAAGAGAATGACGAAGTAATAAAAGGCAAAGGGTTTTTGCAGTCTTCAGTCCACGCTTCCTGACTGGTAAAAACAACCCTCAAAATCCTAGATTGTCTGAAGTAGCCACACAGCTTTCACTTCCAATCACACATCATTTCGGACATAAAAAACACAGCAGTTGAGTATGTTAGAGGCTCCTTCCTCCAAGAGTGTAGGCTCTGACCCCATAATGTCATCACTCATATTCCAGGCCAGAATTACATAAAAATCCTTCCAGAACTTTCCGTTAGACCTCCTAGCCTCTTGGTCCTAAACTCGCATACCCTGCTCGGTAGAGAAAACAATGACGCCTACATCCTAAGCCCTGGACCGTGACTATGTGGGAAAGGGGGATTAAGGCTGCTATTCATCTGACTTTAAAATAAGGGAGACTATTTTAGGGAGACTATTCTGGAGTATCAGGTAGGCCTGATGCAACCACAAGTGTCCAGGGTTAGAGATGTGATGATGGTAGCAGGGCCAGAGAGATGTTATTTCGTTGGGCTTGCCGATGGGGAAAGGGGGCTGCAAGCTGAGGCATGTGGGAGGCCCCTAAAAGCTGAGGAAATAAAGGAAAGGAAAGCCAAGATCCTGCTGATGGCCCCTAGATTTTAGTCCACCATACTGGATGTCTGACCTATAGATTCGTAAAATAATAAATCTGTGTTGTTTTAAGCAACTCAATGTGTGATAACTCTCAGGGAAGCAGCAGAAAACAAGTAAGACTGTCAGGAAGGGGAGATGGCTTCACCTCGGGCACCCTACTGTCCCAGCTCTAGGACAGACGGTGCCTGGTTTCTTTGGCAATAAAACCAATTCATTTACTTATTTTCTAGTTAAAGTCCAGCATCCAGCAGAGTGCGAATCCTCAGAAGAGAAGATATAAAATAGCACAGCATCTTCTAAATTTGAGTGTAGGGGCGGGGAGGTACAGTTGGAGAAGTTAATCTTTCTTTTTTCCTCCCATTTTCCTTCAGAGGGATGTAGCACTATTGTTAGAAACACAATCCCTTTCTAGTGGACCTGCATTAATGTGGTTTGAAAATCAGCCTTTTCAGTTTCTCTGCTCTTTTTCTCTCCAAGATATCTCTGTGTGCTTTGAATGTTTGGATAATCTGAGATGATCTAAATTGAGAGAATTTTAGCTTCTGAATCATGCAGATTTTTGTACTACGCCCTCAACACAATTCAGATAAGATTTGATAATATTTTTATAAACTACAACAGCAAATAGTTCTGAATTAGAAGGTGAATAATTTGGAGTACAAAGACTTGGAATAGTTGATGTAAGAACATTAATAGACTTTACATGCAATTATTTATTTATTTTTTCATTGCTGTTTGTTGTGCTACTTTTGTTTTAACTGGAGAAAAAGTAGTAAGAGGTACTCTGAGTAAGTTAATGTACTATGGACCAAGAGCCCATTTATGTAAAGATTTTTCAGGATCCCTTTGGAGCGAGGACATAACTAAAGTCCATGCTGGAGATGAAGGAAGCTGTGTGAGGCCTGATTTCATTCCTTTTGCCCCAAATGACCAGCTCATCTTTCTCTACCAAGAAACAAATGAGTCATCAGAAGAGCTGAGTGGTGAGAACACCCAAAACCTGGTGGTGGGGTGTGATTTCATCAAGAAGCACAGACCAGAAGAAGAGATGGTTTAACACACCAAATAAAATTAAAAATAGAACAGGAACACTTACCCTGATGTCGCCGTTCACAGTTTTGGGTGTGTGATTGAACGCATGTGCCGGATCCTTGTTGTACACTTTGAGGAGCGATCTGTCCTGAATGTTCCTGGAATCAAAAACATCAGTAACTATGGCAGACGAAAGGAGCCTTACTTTGGGCATTTTCTTTTTCTATCTATAAGAATCAGGTAAAAGCAGCAGACAATTCAGCCGTTGTCCACAAGCAACTAGACAAAAGTTCATTTACCATAGAATAGGCAAAAATAAATACGGCAAAGAAAAATGACTTCAGCTTTTCTTTCCTTTTTTTTTATTCCCCTGGTAATATCAGTCTTTCTGTGAAGTTCTCCACCCATAGATATCGGGTGGCATGAGCTTTCTTTTAAGATTCTGAGCAAGGAAAGGGAACAACACTTTAAGAAACAATAAAGCTCCAATATCAAAAATATGTTCAAAGAAATTTGGTTAGTATTTAAATATTTAATTGCTTATGTTACCCAAACACCCAGTTTTCTGCTTATCGCATGAATGCACACAGATGAAAAATGCTTTTTTCCTTTAAACGGTTTCGGCAAGGAAAAGAACATCTATTTGCAGCCCAGAAAAAAAAGTACCACAAAGATCAAAAATAGTATCTTTACAATGCCTTTTTTTCCTTCCACAGTGGGATTTAAAAAATACTTTTCTGCATCAAATTGAATTAACGGATGTGTGGTGTATTTAGAAAGAACAGCCCCCGATAAGTTCTTCCACCTGCCTGTCTCTCCTTCGGAACCCAGTTTAGAGCTGGGGAGTCAATCATACTGCAGCAAAGAACAGAAGTCCCACATCTTACTCAGTTCCTACCTTGACATTATTTAAGGGCTCGTGAGCATCTACGAAGTCCTTTCTTTTCCCTTCATATTCAGATTTCACCAGCAGGAGGGCCACCCAAGGCACTCTCAGCCCGTCTGCACTGCGATCCCCTGCAGGAGCTGAGGGCAATGTGCGCAGGAGGACGCATTCCTTTCCTCCAGGTGCAGCCACACGTTTTGTGGGCTGATCGCAATCACTGGGATTACTGGCTTATGTTTTTGTTTTAAACGAAGTGGAGAATTCTTGGACTAGCTTTGCTTCCCTCCTTTAAATATTCGTCAGTAATTGCTTTGAAGCAGTGACTAGCCCAAGCTTGCACGATTGCTCCCGATTTCAAGGAGCTCATTAGAAGTCGGCTTAGGGGGGAGTGTGCAGTCCTGTTATTAGAAGGGGCTAGGTTACTATGAAGGGGAAAGTTCACAGAAAGGAAGAATGTGGGGATTCACTAAATGAACTCACCCCGTGGCGGGGCAAAGTCACAGTAATGATGTGAAGAGACTGAAACCATACTTGAGCCCCACACAAAAAAAACACCTGGTATGATTCTAAAGGTATCTAAAATACATGAGGTTGGTTTATGATTAATTTAGAAACATGTTCGTCCAAGACGAACCAACAGTAAAGGCCCAGATTGCATTTACCATGGCAACATTTACAAGACAGCATTTCAACCTGAACTCTCTTAAGGAAAATATGGAGAACCCAATTCAATGATGAGATTGCCAAAAGTTTAGCAAGTATATTCTCACTTCAAAAACACTGAAGGATGTAAAATGAAATTTGTCTCTGGGTTTAGATGAAAGCCATTGTCTTTAGTTAAAATCCACATGGTACATTTTTTGGGAGGGAGGTTCCATATAATGGTTATGTTGAGAATATATCTGACCATTCAAACAAGATACAGATAAAACATTTTATGCATTAAAACAAAGAAATAGAATAATTCTTTGGAAAGGACATACATGTGGTTATCTAACATAAACATTATATTCACCACCAAATAAAAACATTTTCTCCACTTAAATTTTTTTAGTTCCATTTTCATAAGTAAATCAAAACACTAAAAAGTAAAATTCTAGACAAAATTTATAAATCAATGACTTTCCGCTTAAACATTTTAAATGAGATTTTTAAAAAACCAGGCTCTCAGTACTGCAGCAGCGTGAGGACCAACAAGATCATCACTTTTGCAAATATAAACATATTAACTGAAAATTATTGATGTTAAAAGTGATCACGTCTCTCAAGCACTCCTTTCATCTACTTCATCAACTGAATGTGCATGAAAAGGGATCATCTTAATTTGGAAGTTGGGGGGGGGACCTTTCTCACTTCCCTCTTTGTGACTATGAAATGACACTCCCTCAGAATGCATAAAGGAAGTACCAGTAATACTCTGAGGCTTGGGGAAGGGTCTAGAATATTGTTACTCACTATAATGTAAAAATTCTTGCACGCCTGCAAGGCAGTGGGTCCAGCTGTTCATAATACCCTCATCAGTCTTGAGTTCCATAGTCAAAAGTGACTTCGCCTAGCTTCACGCTTATTTATTATTACCCTATGCCTCAATTCCTCTAACTGCAAAATGCCGAAATTCCAGAGGATTGTTGCAAAATGCCACATCCACATAAAAACTCTACATGGGATTATATTATTGCAAACATACTCTTTAAACATAATGTGATTACTTCATGTTTGGTTTATGTTTTGTAAGTCCCCCCCCTCTTTTTGGGTGACAGCCTGATTAATAATTTATTTCAAAAAACAAACATGAATTTCCTGATACCCATGAATATTTAAACATGTTTTTAAAAAGCAGGGAAGGCAGGCTGTGCAACGGACGCAGCACCCTCTACCTTAGGGCATGTGTCAAACTTTGAAAGCTCTAAATTGCTCATACACCTTGGCACTTGTCTAAATATGTCATTGTGATCATTGTTATAGATATCTATCAGTTTATATTTATTATGAATTGAAGGCATATTTTTAAAAAGTGGTTTCCAACCAGGCCAGCCTGCTATCCCCACAGGGCAAGTACTCAGAAATCCAAGTTGTGGCCCAGGTGAGTTGAGGAGGGAACATTCTGAGGGAATAAAAAATTCTTGACCAAGAATGTGGACAGTCAGGTTTGAGCTAGGTGTGTAATGAATTGTCTGTGTGATCCTGAATAAGTCCATTAACTTTTATGCATCTGAATGTCTGGTACCATAACATAAAGGGTAGATTAGTCACAAAATAATTTTTAAAATTTTTAAAATGTTTAGAGGCTATACTAGCACCTGTTTGGTGTTGATTTAAATCCTGTTTCTCAGGCTGTTTGGCTGGGACAGATCAGATGGGTCCCTTCTGCTCTATATACAACCACTGCAGTCGATAAAGATGCTTCTATCTCCGTGCCACCTGCAGTAGCAGGAGTCCAGTTAGCCTCACTTTAGAATACATTCTAGTGGGGGCCCTGGAGAAAGCCCATCTGGAAAGTGAGATCCTTTGGTAAAGGCCAACTATTTAAGAAGCAACTGGAAAGGAAGAATGCTTCTCAGCCTCTTTTCTTGTGGACAGGAACAGAGTCCACTGCTTTTATTCGATCTGGCTCATGTAATGAATGACTCAGTGGGATCACTACCTAAGATGTCTACAGGCTCCGTCTATGAGGGACAGAGCACTTGAGAAGAAGCTGGGGAAAGCTCCAGTCATCAGTAGTGTCTTCAACTCTTATGATCTTGATCAAGTCTGTCGACCTGGGCCTTGGTTTCCACAACTCACAGATGACTAGTGGACTAGGTCGTTTCCTAAGTTCTTTTCAGATGTAACATGCAAAGGCCTCTGTGGGAGAAGCCTGTCCTCAGCTTTGTAAATCACGCCTTGTAAGTGAATTCTAGAAAACCAGATAGTGAATTCACACCTGGGTGAGATAAGCCTGCCAGTCAGGGTAAGAGCAATACTTTCTTTACTGGGACACAAAGAGATTAGGACTCAATACAAACTGTAGCGATGCAAAATGCAATATGGTACACACACACACACACACACGGTGTCAGTACGTACCTTACATCATTTAATTCATAATATACATTTCTGCTTTCATCTTTGATGTAAATGGCAACACTGGGTGACTCCAGCATCTTCATGGTGAGCTGTTGTGGAAAGGCACTTACGAAGAGAGCCCGGATCGTGTCCGCACTTGTGATTTCATTGGGCATCCTGAGCTGCTTGGTTTCATCTCCGTACTGGAGATAGAGAACCCCTGTGTGCAAAATGAACACAGTGATCAATCGCAGACCAAGACTCTCAGGACATGCAGCACAAGCTAAGCCACTTCTGTCTGACCACATGCAGGAATGTCCTGGACAAGCTTAAAAGCATGTAACAAGAAATATATGTTTGGAATTTCCAAGGAATGCACTCTCTGGTTATCTCAAAAGTACCTAGTTTTATTCTTTGGAGTCTAGGAAGGTGTTAAAGAGGCTAATTTTCGACTTTTTAAAAAAAACCCAAAGAACAAAAAGCTAACCTCTGGTAGCCTAAAGCAAAAGCCAATACTTAATTCCCTTGAAAGGTATATTTAGAAATTTAAGCCCATAGGGTGATTTTTTCCCCCCATGCCTTTCACTAACTAAAAACACATTCACTATAGCCATGTGTAAGATATATAGTTTAAGTCTTTATAGTCCATTCAGAAACATTTTAAAGTGGCAATGCTATAATATTTCTGTGGTCTAACACATACTTATTTAATGTTTATACCATATGAAACTATCTGTAAGAAAAGAGGGGCACCCTGATGTCTCAGAAAGAAACTGGAATAAGCCAGTTACACAAAGAAGAAGCACAAGATGACAGAATTTCAGAGTTCCAGGGGATATGTGGCTCCCAATGAACCATGTGGTTTCTCCCAAGATCAAGTCTGAGCTTTGCCATGTGACTCTCTTTGGCTAATGGGACATTAGCAAGTATGATGCAGAACTGAGGCTAGATAAGCGTTTGCACACTAGAGCTTGTCCTCTTGGTGAGTGTGGTCATGGATTCTCCCTCATAGAACTACGCTTCTGTGGAGTCCAGTCAAACAACTTGTGGAAGACATATGGAGAAGACTGGAAGCCCTGACTGGTGGCTCCACTAAGCACCCATTCTACAGCCAGGATGACTGGCCAGTCATGAGGGTGAGCCATGTTGGTAGGGGCACCCCCACCCCTGCGAGAGCTGCCTCGCTGAAGTCACATGCAGCAGAATGGAGATGCCTCCTCCAAGTTGCAGAATCATGAGCAAATAAATAACTGTGGTTGTTTTAAGTCATTATGTTTAGGGTCATTTGTTACTCAGAAATAGATAACTGAACTAGGGAATCGAAGATCCTGACATTTAAGTTGGATCCTACTGTGAGAATCTACTGGGGAAGGACCACTACCACTAGAGTGATCTTTGGCAGGAGAGACTTAAAAAGAGAATAGAATATGACTTCTGGTTAAATATGACAGTTCCTATAACACTTTTATCTCTACCTCCTCACGAAATTCCATTAAAATGACAATGAGGAATTAAAAATCGTACATTAAAGGATTAAGGGAACGTGAGAGGAAACAATAGCAAACAAAAGAAAGCTGACACCTAGGTCTTCAAGGAGACAACTCCACATAAAACGTGCAGGCCCAGGGAATCTCTGGAAATGAGGCAGCAGACCCTTTGAAGGCAGGAATGCAGAGTGAATGGGACGCATGAGTCCTGATTGAACTTTTTTTTTTAATGGTACAGCAACCTGCCCACATCTCCCTTTTTATTCCACTTGACCAAGAGACTCCCTGTATCCATAGAAGACCGAAGACGTTGAACCAACATACCAGATTCTGCTCACGGGGCACAGCGGCGGGCGGATGTGTGTCCCCTCTGACAGAATGCTGGCAAAGGGATGACATCTCAGTCAGGAGGCCAGAGGAACCCCTCTAGGAAAGCTGACTGGCCCACAGGAAGGGAGCAGCAGAATGGTGAGGGTAATTGTTCAGGTCCTGTTTGGTCACCCCAGCATTGGGCAGCCTGGCCCCTATATAAAAGCTTCCCATTGGTACACCCATGCCTTGCTCATACATTAGCAGACTACCTGGGATTAAGAGACATTTTGTAAAGGCCTCTAATGCGAAACAAAAGACCGAAATAAACAGAAAACTGAAACTCAGAAGAAGTGAGACAGTCCAAGAAAAGGGGGATATTTGGAGAGCAAGAGTGAGCTCTGGGAACCATGAGAGCAGAGACTAAAAATTCAGTGAAAAAGAAAAAGTTGATAAAATCTTAAAAGTGGAGTAAAAAAAGTAAGGGATGGGAAAAGGGTGAAAACCAATAAGAAAAATAGAGAATTACTTCAGAGCATCCCAATGCCTAATAGGGGAGATTTCGATAAAAAAACATCAGGAAAAACAGGGAAGTTTTACAAAAAGTGTTATAAGAAAATTTCCCCCCTCCCAAACTGAAAGACACAAGACTGCAGATTGAAAATATTCATGAAATGCTCAACACACTCAGGCTTGTCACTGAGATATTCCAGGTGGCAGGGCAAACAGAGGTTCCCACCAGCCCAGAGGGTGGGGAGTAAAGTCACAAAGGAAGTATCAGGACTCAGAAAGGCATTAGCTTTCTCAACAGCAACCCAGAAACCAAAGAAAATGGAGAAACGGCCTTGAAAATCTGGGAGGAAATACTTTTGATTAGGTTCCTATCCACCCAAGCCATCAATAAGGTATTTATTAAAGTCAGCTTCTCAGTGAGGCCTCTCCTGACCACCTTCTTTGTTACTTCCACACCCACTGTCCAGAATATTTCATGCTCCCACCCTTGCTTTATTTTCATTCTTGAACAGTTTTCACTATACAGTTGAAGCCTGAACAGCACAGGAGTTAGGGGTTGATCCCTGCACGGCTGAAAATCCAAGCATAACTTTTGACTCCCTCAAAGTGTAACTACTGATAGCCTACTGTTGACCAGAAGCCTTACCGATAACACAGAGTGGGCAACAGTAGTTTCACAGTTGCGAGTACACAAAACACAGAGTTTATTCTTGTATTATTATTTAAAGTATTATTTTCCATATGAACAGCTGTAAACCTACTTTTGCCTCACCCTGTNAAAACACAGAGTTTATTCTTGTATTATTATTTGATGTATTATTTTCCATATGAACAGCTGTAAACCTACTTTTGCCTCACCCTGTATAAACAATTAACATATATTTTGTATGTTATAAAATTTATATACTATATTCTTATGCTAAGTAAGCTAGGGAAAAGAAAATGTTATTAAGAAAACCACACGGAAAAGGAAACACATTTACAGAATTTATTGAAAAAAATCTGTGTATAAGCGGATTCACAATTCAAACTGTGCTGTTAAAGGGTCAACTGTATAATTCGTATTTTAATTATTGTTATTGTTTATCGTCAGTCTTTCCCTCTAAAATGTAAGCTTCATCAAGTGAAGGATTTTTAATAGTGCTTTATGTTGTTCACCATGGTATCCTTGGTACCTGTTATAAGACCTGTTACATAGTAGGTTCTCAGTAAGTGTTGAATGAATGATTTATTAGTCATCCAAAAGGAATGTTCATTTTGGGTCTGTCTGAATAAAAGAGCTTTTGCTACACGATGTAAACAGCCCAGTGATCTCCTTCCTGCTTTGTATACACATTAGGCTACATTCTGAAGTGGCTGTTTCCTTGGCTGGAGCAGTCCTTTTGCATTCAGCATAAGCAGCTCAGCTTCCCCTCTCCGTCCATCACAGTTTCCATCCTCAGCTTCTCCATGGAGTTAGTTTTCCAGAATATCCATGCTGTTACAAGTTCTTCAGAGTGCAGAAAAAAAACCTTTCAAGCCTGTCTGTCTCGGATCGTGCAATGTTTTTGCCCTAACCAGGGGCTGTGGTGACTGCCCCTGTGATTGCCAGTGTCATATCAAAAGGCTAAAACCACTCCTGAGGTCAGGGCCCCAACCATGCCTGGGCGAGGCTCTTGCCGATGGGCCACTTGTGGCCTCACTGCAGTCAAATATCATGGCCTCACTCCCCCAAGGGCCTGGTTTTCATTCCCACATCTGCATTCTGTACGTGTGTGCTTTAAATAGAATTTTTCACTCAGGCTCCGAGTAAAAAAAAAAAAAAATTGGGCCTAAACTAAGGTTACCTCAGGGTCTGGCTGGTGCAGCTGCCAGCTGGGTACACAAGTCCAGTTACAGATCATGACAATCCGGAAAGGGCGGGAAAGATGCCTTTATAAACAGAGAATAGTCTTTTTACACTTGATTCAGTTTGGTTTCTCAATTCAGGAAAGGTATTTAGAAATGCTTGAACTCAGAAGGAATGCTCTTAATATACGATGGCGTTTTATTGGCACGGTGATGAGAGTCAGCACCCGCTGGCATACTTCCCCGGCTCTGAGTTCGTGCTGGCTGCTCCAGACTCACAGAGGAAGTCTGAAGGGCTCAGAATCATAAACTCTTTCTTTATGAAGAAGGAAAGAGGACAGGGAAATGCATTTATAGGATGTCTGCTATGTGTCAGAAACAGCACGCATGCACACCAGGTCCTCAATAACATTGTTCTAACGTTGATGAGATGCCCTAGGAACTTAACTCTTGTTTCTATCAATTAGCCGAGGGTAAAACTGGTTTCATTACATGTTGTTCCACTTGGAGTTGCAGAACCTATGAATGATATTAAGCGAGGACTTACTGTATTTCATTTAAAGAGCGCAGCTTCTCTTGCCAGCTGGGTGTTAGGCCCCATTTCACAGATTGGAAAAAGGAAGCTCAGAAGGTCCCAGTAACTTACTTAAAATTACAGCTAGCAAAAGGCTTAACTAATTTATATATCCAATTCCATCCATCCACAGAACCCACTGTAAACAATAATAGAAATGGAGCCATTTTAAAATGAAGCCGGAGCTGCCATGCCAGAGGAGCTGCCTTGAATGTCTTACACCTCAACTCTTGGAATGTTACAAAAGGACAAAATAACCTTTGTTCTGGACCTAGGGCCACATCGTGTCCCAAGAACTATTTGCAAAGATAATAACAAAGCAGTTGCTATGACTCCTGGACTGAAAACAACTACTGGACTGAAAATTGAAAACACTGTTTAGAATTAACATCATATGTTATGTTATCTACACCAATAGACATGCCTTCCTTCTATTGATCTAATTATTCCCCTGCCCTTTCTCATAAATATCCACTGCCTTTGCCCTCTTATCAGAACATTATTTGGACT